GGTGTTAAGAAATACCAACCATCATTTCTATCGTCGTCGCCAGGGTAGACTTAAAACCTCCACATTTGGTGATTGCGCTAAGAAATGTCAACAAGCATTTCTGGCACCGTTACCGAGGATGGACTTAAAACTTCCACACTTGGTGATTGCGCTAAGAAATACCAATATCATCTAGCTCATGCTCTGCAACGAGAGCAAAGCAACCCAAAGAGGGGCACCGAGAGCTCCTCCCCTGCTCCCATCGTCTCCCTCCTCTCCGACGAGGGGGAAGGCCTCACTAGCAGCGAGGCTTCCTAGGTGTAGCAACCGGTTTTAAAGACAAAACCAGATACACACCATATGTGAGCCTAGGAAGTCAAATCACACATACGGCCACAAATAGAGGTAATATCAAAAGACAATGCTTAGTATATAACGTACTTAATACAAAAGAAGATAACCTTAGGCACAATTTGTAGATAGACAACTCCGATCTTCTGGTGAAGACTCCACTCCACAGGGAAACTGACTGGTTGATCACAAGCCTAAACTCCTTCAGATTGTAGCAATCTGGTACCCATTCGGGATTTTCCTGAAGTATTGAAAAATAAAACAAGCGTAAGTACATATTGTACTCAGTAATATAACATGGGGTTCATGAGGCTCAAAAGGTTGACACAGGTTTACTATGGTTCACATTTTAATGTTATAATTTTAACACTAAATTAGCATATAGTTGTGCTTAAGCCCCAATTAAAACACATGATCATATGAAGCAACATTTTATCTCATAATTAATCAACAACATAAGTAATCCTCTATTTCTGTGAGTTTTCTGGGTCGCTCGTGACCATGAGCACGGCTGATATACTAGTTTGACACTCTACAGAGGTCTACACTTTCATCGTGAGCCATGATTTACCTTTTCGCTCGAGGTTGCGAGCCTCTTAACCCACTACCAAGGAAGGTCAACAGGGTCCACTATAAAGTCCTTCAAAGGTTCGTCTAACAAGTGTAGCCCGCTAAGGATTCCCCATCAACCAGTAAGATCCCTCCCCCAAGGTGTGACTAACAAAAAGACAAAGAAACCAAAGTACACTCCCTTGGCAGGCCGTGAGATCAAACCAATCGGAGCCCCTCTTGCGCCTTTTGGTAAGCTACTACAAGCTAAAGAAGCTCCTCATACTAAACTAAAGTCAGAGCCATGTAGCCCTTATGGTTGTACTGTAAGTCCCAGCTTTTGCAGACAGATAAGTCCTTAGAAAGGGCCAAGAGCATCTTGTAAAAAGCCAAGAGCTCTCTAGCCCTATATCCAAATTGCTAAAAAGCAAGTTTTATCCTTTGTTGAATAAATCCATTAGTCAATGTTAAGATTACGATTGTTTAAATTGAGGGCTAGCAAAACTATCCATATGCAAGTAATCCCAAGTTACAAGGTAACAAAAGCTAGATATCATCGATAGGGTGGCAAAATAAGACACATGCAACATGAATTATAATGATTAAAAGGTGTGCAGGTACCAAGGATAGTCCCATGCTATACTTGCCTCAAACTCAGATCCTTCTTCTAGTCCAAAGCTTCAAAGGATTTCTTCTGGTTCACCACGTTTATTAGCTCACCAACTGAACGAGATCATAAAGCACCACACAAGCATCCAAACATACATGCATAGCATACAAATATGACTAAATTAGAACAATACACCAATCAATGAAAATATTTGAAAACTAATCTTACGCATTTGGAGCACACATACACGAAAAGCACGCTAATAGAAGCTACAGTGAACAAGAAATGTCTACTAAAAATTTACTTTATAAGAGAAAAAGAAACTATAGGCTTCATTTATTTTAATTATATAAAGGCATGTATAAGATACTTCAGAGAAATATCTAGATTGAATTAAGTCAAATTTATATTTGAATTAGAAAACTAAAGTAAAATTAATTCATATTTTATTTATCAATCGTGTTGCATAATCATTATTCAAGTTAGGATTTAAACCATGAAATTCCAGAGCTAATGACAAGATCAACATTGTTACTAATACGTAGATTACATTGTTGCAAATCTAACGCAGCTTGAACGGGTAAAAACAGAGTTAAAACAGAGATTTTATGCCCAAAACAAGATCAGTGGCAGATTTGTAAATAAACCAAACTGTTTTTCAAATTAAAATAAATAAAAAATCAGGACTTTAAATCTAGAGTGGACTGCGGGTGGAAAAAGGAAGAAAGGCAGGGGGTTTTAGCAAAACGATCACGCGAACCGGTATGGACCGATATGGGCCGCTGGATCAGATTTGGACGGTGGAGATTAGAAGGGAGAGAGATGGGTCACCAGAGCGGCGCTTCCGCAGTGGTGCCATTGACGATAGCAGCTTGACCTCGCTGGAGTTCGATGTTTCGCAAACTCCGCGCGTCATTGGCCAAAGTAAAAACACAGGGAGGGAGAGAAGAGCACGACGAACTCAGTCGTGGGGTCAGGATGAGCCATCAGGGCACAAGGGCGATGTGGGGCTCGCCCGAGCGAATCGGGGTCACGGCGCAACCTCGGCGAAGCAGAACACGAAGCAGGGAGCAAGAGATGTAGTGCGACCGATACCGATGGCCTTCTTACCACCAACCGAAGACCGGGGAGTGGCTCGAGTAACCAGCGAAACCTTGGGATGGCAGATCGAGGTGGTGGCGGCGATTAGGGTTTGGGTGGTGGCATCAGGAGCTTTCGGGCGCGGCTACTGCTGCGAGGAGGCAGGATGGAGGCCGCAGGTGCTGGGGCTCAGCTTATATAGCTCTAGAGAGGCGCCGTGTATGGAAGGGAGGAGATCGAGCTCCGATCAATCTTGACCGGGAAAGGAAGGGCGCCGCGTCCAGAAAAGGAAAGGAGAGAGGAGGAAGAAGGAAGGCACTGGGGGTCACTGACAAACGGGCCCACCAGTTAGCGGAAGAAGGGCACGGGCCCATGATTCAGGTAGACAAAGAGGGAGAGGGACTGCACGTGTGGTCTTCGGCCCCAATTGGGCTGGTCCAATTGATTGGGCCGTAGGATTTGGAGGTGGATGGGAGAGGCTGAGCTGGGCTCTAATTCGAAGAAGCAGGCCAAGGGTGAGGGGTCAGGAAACAGGCCTTCGGGCCAAAATGAGGGAGGGAAGAGTTTGCTCTTTTTATTTTCCTTTTCTTTTATTTTAAAACTATTTTCAAATCCTTTCAAAAGCAATTTGAATCATTTTGAGTTTTGGATCAAAACCATGCAGTACAATAAACAATATGCACCAGCATATATGCACAACAATATTGCTACATCCTATGATAAATTTTAATTTAATAAAAAATTTTATTTTCCTATGTTTCATGAGCACGAAAATACAAAATTAAATCATTTTAACCCTATTTCAACATAAGCAAATTTTTGGGTGTTACACTAGGATCAGCACCGAGCGATCCCCTACCAAATCTCTTTCTTACACTCTGTTGTAACCCCTTAGATTTTGAGTGCTCTTGAGTCTAAGGATCATCAGCTGCTGGACGTAGGGCCCCAATAGCCCGAACCAGGATAAACCATAGCGTCCTCTCTGTGATTCTTGTGTTCTTGAGTCCACCTGAGCCATCGGAGACACGCACTCTGACACCCGATGAACAACAATGCTTGCCGCGGTTTCGACTCCGCAACAATAGCACTGTCTAATCATTGTATTCCACCATGTGTTCGAGACAAGTTCTTAAAAGGTAAGGCTAACGTCAATTGTGTAACCGCTTCTGGTAGGAAATAGTGTTCCTACTGTCTCGCCTACCGCCTAGTATACCCGTTGTGTGGACTCAATATTTGTGTTGCAATTATGTGATTAAAGTAGATTCTGGATTATATGAACCTTTACTCTCTCGTTGTCCTCCCACGTAACCATACCTTACTAATTATCTTTGAGTTATGTTCATCTTGGCTTGTTGCATCACCCCTTCCTACCATATTTCATTTACCCCATATATTAGTTGATACTAAGTTATGGTAAACATAAAATCTCTCATTTATTATCATTCCTAGCTACCACTTTCCCTTGAGATTAAATAAATAACGATACCTTGGAATACTCCGCAGATCGTCCGGGTGAACCACAAGACCGTCCGACTATAATTCATGTTAACACTTAACCCTAGAACCTAACCACCCTATCACACACTTAGATACATGTTAGTACATCACTAATCTACACTTGGATCCCTTCCACAAACCTTCAATCTTGAATCACCTTCATGTGATCTTTATCTCTTAATCCAACGAGCTTATCTTCAACTCTTCTGATGCGTTGTAATCTTCCAGGTCTCTCTTCATCTGTGAGGAACGTATAAGGTCAAGTCATGATCATCCTTTGGGACTTCATGACATGCAGGCACCACTACTATTACCTCTATTTTGGGTATATATTTGTCTACTCATTGTGAGTCTTGCATTTCATTAAATATGATTAACTACTTAATCCTGTCTCACTAAGTTAGACCAACTCACTTAAACTAATCATAGCCCCTTAATCATTGGGCTTGGAACATTTAATATGCTTAGTTGGCTAGTATGGATATAAGTCAGGTGTGAGCGGGAACTCTTGTGTGTATAGGAGCTTCACCGGGATTAAATGACATTTTTAGGCCTTGTTCGTTTCATGCCTGAATCATGGGGATTGAAAAGGATTTTGACTTGTAGGGGATTTAATCCCCTAAATCCTTCCCATTCCCCTTGGTTCTAAGATAAACTGAACAGAGCCTTATGGGGATGAGGAGTGAGATTGGGAATTGCTGGAGATGCTCAGCAGTTTCCCACACATCACTGTCAATGTAAACTTCCAAATGACATCTCTATAATCTTGAAATCTCCTTGTGGCTTGTTTTCTCGTTTGTTGAGAAACAGACATTGGGCACCGCACAGAAAGCAAAAACTGGCTAAAAAACATTGTTCTGGCTGAATTATTACGAGAGAAAAACATTGTTCTAGCTGAAAAAAGAAGCCGAACGGGGCCAAAATTCCAGCCCGCTCACGGGCTCCAGAAGACAGTTTGTGCAACATCATTGCCGTACAGCTCCGACGATACCAAGCCACACGCTACAAGTTTTGAAGAGTAGCTACTAAAATAAGTAAATAGACAACGTTTCAAGACAACAAAGTTCTGTATTTACATTTCAAAGAACAAAGGTGATGTGGCAGAGATGAGAAAAGGAATCGCTTTTAGGATACAAGTTACGACAAAATATCTGTGACCACGTTTTAAAGCTAACCATCTTCTAGAGTATTGCTTCCTCGGGGGTGCACCGCCATCCACATATCTGCGGAAATCCTTTGCAAGTTTTTGATAAAACTCAACATCAGAAGGCTTTACACTGCTGATTGCAGACTTGAAATGCCTCATTGCTACTTCTTCCAAGTCAAAGCTCTCCTGTTCAAAAGAAATGAAGTAGTTTATCAGCAAATTTCTGATATGACCATGTTACCAGAGTGGGAAAGAATGAGTAGCATACATCAAGTGCTGCAACAGCAGCTTCCCTGCAGACAAGCTTTATCTCCGCACCTGTGTAGCCTTCGGTGAGTCTAGCAAGGTCCTTCAGATTCACGTCAGGACTACATGGCATGCTGCGTGTATGAATCTGGAAAATATCTGCCCGGTCAGCTTTGTTTGGCGGTTGCACATCAAGCACCGTATCAAAACGACCTAGGTCATAACATCGTAATCAAAAGTCAGACCGGAGGATTGTATGAAGCATTATATGTGAAACCAAACAATGCACTATATAGACCTAATGAACAACCTGTCCTTAGAAGTGCAGGATCAATTTTGTCAGGACGATTAGTAGCTGCAATAACAGTTACACCAACTCTCTGGTCCAAACCTGTTGCCACCAAATAGTAAATTATGCATCATCAAAATTTAGAGACCAATAGGTGCTTGTAAATAACAAAATGTGTCAGACAATAGTCACCAACATTCCAACTGCGGGTGAGCACGAGCAAATAGCTAAACACCATTCTGGTCATGGATGTTTTAAATTGGATGGTTACAAGGGCTTCTGAGGCAGGGCTGCTACAACCCCTATCTAGAAGACCAATTCAGCATAGAATTTCCCTCTATGCGGATGATGTGGCCCTTTTTCTCAGACCGGCTGCAGAGGACATCTCTCTGACTCTAAGCATGCTCCAACTATTTGGGGATGCGTCAGGGCTCAAGACTAACGTTCAGAAGAGTAGTGTGATGCCAATTCAGTGCTCGGAGGATGATATGGCTATAATACAAAGCTTACTGCCTTGTGAAATTATGAATTTTCCATGCAAGTATTTGGGTTTGCCCTTGTCTCTCAAGAAACTAACAAAGGAGCAATTCCAGCCAATAATTGACAGAATCGCGGATCAATTACCGGGTTGGAAGGCAGATTTGATGACACGGGCTGGTAGGGTAGTGCAAGTGCAATTTGTCTTGACAGCCATGCTGATCTATCTAGCCATGGCTATAGATCTACCTCCCTGGGCAATTAAGGCCATTGATAAAATCAGAAGAGGGTTCGTGTGGAGAGGACGCAAGGAAGCAAAAGGTGGACATTGTCTCATCGCGTGGCCCAAGGTTTGTCGAGCAAAGGAGCTAGGTGGGCTTGGGATTTCTGATCTGAAATCTCTATGTATTGCACTAAGAGTAAGATGGCCATGGCTCAAAAAGTCTGAACCTAATAAATCCTGGGCAAGTTTGCCACTGCAAGTCAGCAAGGATGCTGAATGCCTCCTCTCCCTGGCCATTATTACTGAAATTGGTGATGGTGCCAATACCCTTTTTTGGAAGGATAAATGGTTGGCTGGTAAGAGCATTCAGGATCTTGCACCCAATCTGTATGTTCTAGTACCAAAAGGAAGGGCACGCAAACACACTGTGAAGACTGCTCTTGATGAGATGAAATGGACAGAAGATATCCAAGGGGAAATACCTGTGCAAGCTTTAATGGAATATCTTGAGCTATGGGATATGCTAGAGGATATAAGTGTACAGGAGGGGATCCCTGATAGGCATATTTGGAGGCTGTCCGCCTCAGGTAAATATACAGCTAAATCAGCCTATGGTGCACTTTTTGAGGGAGCCCTCAGTTTCGCCCCATTTGAGCGCATCTGGAAATCTTGGGCGCCCCCCTAAGTGTCGTTTCTTCATGTGGCTGGTTGCTCACAATCGCTGCTGGACAGCTGACAGGTTGGCTCGAAGAGGTCTTCCTCATCCGGACCATTGTCTGCTATGTGATCAAGAAGAAGAGAACATCCAGCACCTTCTCATTGGGTGTGTGTTTGCAAGACAATTCTGGTATGACATCCTACATAGCATCGGACTGGCAGCACTAGCCCCGCAGTCAGATGTTTCCTCCTTTGATGATTGGTGGGACAAGGCGGTCTTGACAGTAAGCGAAGATGCGCGAAAGGGACTGAATTCCCTCATTATCCTAGGAGCCTGGACCATCTGGAAACATCGAAACGATTGTGTCTTCAACGGAGCTACCCCTAGATTATCTACAGCTTTGAACCTTGCTAGGGAGGAAGCCCTCCTTTGGTCTTTGGCTGGTGCTAGGGGACTGTCCCCGATACACAGCTCTTGATGTTTAGAGGGTCTCTGGTCATGGTTTTCTTCTCAAGCATAGGTGATTAGTTCCAGTCAGTAAGTGGAGGTGTGTTGGTGTTGTGTTTGTGGGTGTGGGTGTGTTTGGGTCTCTGTATGACTCCTTTCTCTTCTATTAATACAATGATACGCAGCTCTCCTGTGTATTCGAAAAAAAAAAATTGAATGGAAACATCATTTGATGCTTAGCCAACGAAAAAGTTTAGTGACTAGTGTCAGTGAGTATATATAAGGCGACTAGATTATAGCCTAAGGCAATTATCGGCAAGTTTATGAACAACCATGATGCAACATAAGAGAAATTTCGTTTATGGGTGACAAAAACTCACCATCGATTTCCACAAGCAGCTGACAGAGGACTCTGTCAGCAACAGACGTGCCATCATTTTCAAGCCCACGAGTTACTGCAAACCCATCTATTTCATCGAAAAATAATATTGCAGGTGCATTAGCTCTAGCCTTTGCAAATAGCGACCTCACTGCCTTTTCAGAGTCACCAACCCATTTGCTGAAAAGTTCAGGACCCTTAACTGCAAGGAAATTCAATTTTGCTTCAGAAGCTGCAGCACGAGCCATCAGTGTCTTGCTGCAACCTGGTGGTCCTATCATTAGCAATCCACTGGGGGGTTTGATCCCTAAACGCTCAAATGCTTCTGGGTATTTCTGCGGCAATTGGATGGCTTCAATAAGCTGCTCCTTGATACTGGCTTGACCACCAACATCTTCCCAACGTACTTTCGGAACCTCAAGCATTACCTGTGCAGAGTATGATTGAGAATTGGCATCGCTTTTACACAGATCAAATGCATATATAAAGGAACTGTAATAAAAGAAGCCAACAGTTACAGAGTTCAAGCCTTGCAGGCGGATAGAAGTGATACCTCACGCATTGCACTTGGTCTAATTTTCATTTGAGCCTTCTGAAAGTCCCCATTGTTTACTAACAATATTTTTTCATCTTTCTCATCATAAGATTTGCTAATTTTTGTGTTATTCCTATTTTCAGAGGGACAATCATCCAATGACATAGTTGATAATGATAATGAGCTTTCTTGATAGCCAGGATGACCAGTATCTCGAATACACTTATCTACACTAGAGTCAGGTTGACCAAGTTGTAGACTCGAATTTTCTCCTAGGCTGATGAAACGGCGAAGAGCAATCAATGCAGCCTCATTGCATAGTGCGGCTAGATCCGCACCCACAAACCCATGGATAGCTAGAGCAATAGACTCAAGTTCCTCATTACTGAGAAAGTGGTGAACTTCAATTAGAAGGTGGCGAAGTATGTCCATCCTCTGTGCGGCAGATGGTACTCCTGCAACCCAGTGTGAAGACAACAAATCATGGTCAACATGGTTTTAGACTCAACAATATATCATTGGACAACCATGTTAACTCAACACTCAAAGTCACTTAAACTTGATACCAGCTATATATGCAAGCTAACCTTGGTTTACTAAAAATTGCCTTGACGGCTACTATAAGAACATAAAAATTAATTACCTACCAGGGACAACGGAAGACAGAATACAATTCATTCCATTCCTTATAAGTTATAAGTCAAAAATATTGACCAATCCTAAAGGCATGATGCTACACTTCATACCTAAAGGCATGCTACAATTCATTCCATTCCTAATACATTCTGCATATCCATAGGTATTAGTTTTATCTACATGCATTTAGAGCATCATGTGTATGTAGATGAGACTACATCAACGGCCTTTTTACTTTAAAATATACGGACAGCATAGTAGGATTATACCTATTTCAATTTCTTTATCCAATCTTCCAGAACGCCACAGTGCAGGATCGATACTATCAGGCCGATTAGTAACCGCAATTAAGAGAACACAATCACTAGGACCTATCTCGTCCATCAGTTTTAACAGAGTGACCACCATTCTAATAGATAACTCCTCGCTCCCTTCCTTCCTTGATGGAGCAATTGCATCCAATTCATCAATAAATACCTACGTAAGATAGATGCATAATAGTGTTACAAATGGCAACATGTGATGGGATACCAATTATAGGATACCAATATGTCAAATACATAGTATTGCTCCTTGCTAACTAAATACTTCAAACCTTATACAATTACTGATCTGCCCCCTGGGTGTGAAAAGAGTAACTAAGTTTGGTTCATGAATTTAATTAGATGATGTAACTTGAAGACTTCAGAGTTGCAGAGCACATCAAGACATTAGGGCAGCTTGGGCTCAATAATACAGTGCTGCTATACAAAAAAATTAAGTTGCTTGTATCATTAAAAAAAACATTGATCACAAAACTCAGCAAAAAATGTTGTTATTTTTCTAATACAAAGGGGAGATTCAGCATTATAAATTACAATATTATCTCTTAAAGAGGTAACTCTAACAGGATTTTTCTTTGCAGTTGACATGACAGTAAAGATAATGCAGCTAAGCATTTGAAGAAAATCTAACCACAGCAGGCGCAGCTTTCTTAGCTGAACTGAAAACATCATACAGAGATTGCTCACTTTCACCGTAATAATTACTAATGATCTCTGGTCCGTTGACTGTAAAAAGGTTGGCTCCTGCATCATAGGCACAGGAAGAGGCAAGAGAAGTTTTCCCTGTTCCAGGTGGACCATAAAGAAGAACACCTTTGTATCTGAAATTAATAAAAATGTGACAAAATTGAAAGAAAGATTTTTTATGGAAGAATACAGGGTGAACTGTGTATCTGTTTACGCAATACCTTGGCAAACCAATAAGATCAGCCAGTGAAAATGAAATTATTCCTTTTATGATGGCTGACTCTTTAGATTACCCACCAAGCATTGGAGCATGATTGGAAACTTCATTTCTTTTGTCACATTCAAGTTCCAACGGTAAATCTAGCTTATCTGGGCGAAGCTTCTCTGTGCAAAAAGAATCAGACAGGTGGACTTTTGTGGTTCTATCAACAAGGAACGAAACTAGGGTTTTCCCCAAGTTAGCTGAGTCTTCTGCAGTAGACAGTGTATTCCCTTTCTTGCACAAATCACCTTGGGCAGAGCCATCAACAAATTCTGCTCCCATCACCACAAACAAAGACAATTTTCCTCACATTGAGAGAGGAACAAAATTCCCTTTTAATAACTGTCTACCATTAAGACACCGTTGAGCTGAAGTCTGCAACAACTCGTTAACTTCTTCATCTGCTAATGCTGATCTTGCAGTGGTTTGATCCAAGCACATTGAAGAGCCACTGTTGAATGAAAAGTACAAGGACTCCTTCCTATGCAGTGGAGCAGAAGGTATCTTCTTACATGTCTCCATAACCATTTCATTTCTTTCAGGACAGCAGTCAGACTCTGATTCATTGCTACTGGCAGATCCAACCTCAGGTGGAACTAGACTGAGGTAAAGATTCTTACATTTTATTACCCGTAAAATATCGGCACCATCACTATGCTTTGGGGTCTGATGTGTATATATGGTGCTAATAAATAACAGTCGACCTACTGAAGGGCATCCCAAAACACATGCAAGATCCCAAGAGAGCTTGACGCAATTCTTTTGAACCTAGTAAGACAACCCAGTTAAAAAAGTTCACAGTTTGTTACAGCATTTAGACAACAGGAGAAGAAAAATAGAGTAGACATACCTCACGTGAGGGGAAAACTGTGGCAACCACAAAGGTTCTCCCAGCTTCACCATACAGGAGATCATTGTCCACATCAAGACCAAAGAATCTCTTGCACTCCTCAAATAAATTGTCTAGAGGGAATCCATCTAATTGGTCACTGCTCAAAGAAATCAGTGACACCTGGGAACAAGGAAACACACCTTGTCTTGGTCATTCATAGAAAGATACACAGAAAGGTATGAAACTTTGGTTCTGTGACATCAAAATGTTTTTGTTCTAGAAATATACCATTGATCTTAACAAGTAAACTTAATACCAACAAAAGATCACACTATTTTATAAATACATCACTGTCCTGTTTCCATCCATACATCCATCCATCCATCTTCTCTGTTGAAGTGCTTGTTTTTCTCCCCCATCTCCCAGTTCAGTTCCTGTCACACAGACGGTATTCTTCCTTGGTCTATGGACGGATGGAAATGATGCTAAACTGGAATAGGCACATGGGCAGGCGGTGAACTGGAGTAGCCAGGTGGTAACTGGGGCAGGCAAGTGCTAGACTGAAGCAAGCTAAGTGCTGGAAAGAGGGCATGAGCTGAATGATTTTTTGATTTGCACTCGATTTCTAGACAGAACCTGGGGTAACCCCTCATCAACTTCCAGAAAACCTAGGCAGATATGCAGGTTCCTTTACATCCATGCCTTGCTGCTCCGTTTTTACAGGCTGTAAAGCACAACACAGATGAACCCATCAACTACAGAATCATTCTCCTAAATTTCTCCTCTCTATACATCTATAAACAATTAGAAGGCATCCATGGAAAACAATAAGCATGCAAGAACAATGATAAACACAGCTGACGTACAGTAAAAAAAACCTCCATTTGGATTGGGTGGGGGGTTCAATTTAGTGGCCTGCAGATTTGATTTGGGGTGTGGTGGCTTAACGCAAAGGAGGGCTACGGCGGCTAGCAGTGTACTCCAGGACGGGAATTAGGTCTGCCGCAAGAACATGAACTAGGTATCCAATAGAGAAGACATATGGATGGACACAAAAGGTGCGATTGGTTTATTTCTCAAAGGAGCTATCATTTTTCAGTGGTATATTTAGAACCATTTTTCTAAAAAAAAAAGAAAAATAAAAAGCAACCAATAATTTTGTACTTCACTGGAACTCTAAAGTTCAATTTGGCACATTAAAAACACACACGTGGGTGGGTGGACTCATGCCGACCGGAATTACTACAAATTGCTAAATGTCTGTCAAATTGGAGCTCATAAGACTGAAATGGTCTTCAGTGCCCTTGATGATAAATCCAACCTCCCAGTCACAACGCAAACATAAATTTGAGCAACAAACTGCACTTCCTTGAACTGATTCTGGATGTGACGGAGCTGGTTCACGCAAACAACTTGCAAAAACAAACAGTCCTAAGTCGAAGGAACAAGGGCCGAGGGACAAAAAGGTGAGAAAGCAGGAGCTTACGGAGACGAGGCACCCAGGCCGCATCCCGGCGCCGACCATGGCTGCCTCGGAGAGGCTCCCAGCCCTGGGGGCCACATCGTCGACTGTGCCAGCGAGGCAGCCGGCGCCGCCGCGTGGCACGAGCGCTGTGAACCACGCTGCGGCGGCGGAGGCGATGGATGGGAGGTCGACGCTTGCGCTTGCCCTTGGAAGGAGGCATGGCGAGTTGGCGACGACGAGAGGCTGTGCTTTTCTTTTCTTTTTTTGTAGGGTTTACTATGACGGCTGATGCCTAAACCCCGGAAGATACGAGCGTCGGACTGGGGCGAAGCTACGTATCCCAGCAAAAACAAAATTTAGTGTTAATCATCTCACATTCACCATGTGTGCACCCCCCTCAGCCAAGGATCATGCACCCCCCCACATGGCAACGTGGATGCGTGAAAGCTTGAGCAGACTGAGACTGTCTTAATTTATCAATTAGTATTGGGAGATTTTTTTTTCAATTAAGGTAGAGATAGGTTGGATGCAAGTAGACAAGAATAATAAGAGCTAGGAGTTTGATCGGCGAAAGCTAGCTATTAATGTTATCTGATTCTATGGCAAACAATCGGTAGCATCTAATTTTCTATACCTAAACTCTGCACATATTAGCAATAATTTTTATCTAAGCTTCTGAACTCAATATACACCTTTATAGATTTTGCATACCTCCCTTTATTTTTAAATTTAAGTTTACGTAAATATGATTGTTGCTTTAGAAAAACCAAATTTTACCAAGTACTACCTCCATATCCACAAAAGAATGTAATTCTAGTAATTCTAGGTGCACTCTTTGTGTAAGTATCTAAAGTTTGGCCAACTTTATTGATAAAAGTCTTCGGGTTAAGCGGTCAATTAAACGGGCTAAACGAATCACTATATAGCATTTATGCCGTGTTTAAATAGGCTAATTGACCGTTTAGAAGAACAATAGTACTATTGAAGTGTTGCACCCCTCTCATTTCAACTCTAGATTCGCCACTGACGTCGGATCGGGGGTGGTCCGGTGGATGCGGATGTATATATATAAATAAATAAACTGAAATGCTTATCTCTGCGAGCGCAGGATCCAGGGGCTCGGCGCGCACACTCGCGTGGCTGTCTGATGCGCGTGGGGAAGAAGACGTACCAGCCTGCGTGGCCGGATGAAAGGTCCTAATATGGCTAGAGGTGAGGTAAATAGCCTATTTAAAAATCTACAAATCATCTAGAGCAATTTGATTAGTATGATAAATAGCGAAATGCAAACTTGCTCTAGCTCTACAAGGGTTGCAAGCCACCTATCCAACAATTCTAGTTGCAATGATTACTAGGCACACAACTTACAATGTTACTACTCACTAAGAGCTCTAAAAAATGCTACTCTAAAGAGCTCCACTAGATGAACTTAAACTAACAAAGCAAGCTCTCAATTCTAAATACACTAAAGAGCTTGTCATAATTAGTTTGCAAGAATATAAATGAGTGAGTAGGGTGATTATACCGTCGTGTAGAGGAGTGAACCAATCACAATATGAATACTAAATCAATCACTGGGAGAATTTCAAAGGGCAAGAGACAACCTATTTTTCTCCCGAGGTTCACGTGCTTACCGGCACGCTAGTCCCCGTTGTGTCGACCAACACTTGGTGGTTCGGCGGCTAAGAGGTGTTGCACGAACCTCGTCCACATGATAGGACACCGTAAGAACCTACCCACAAGTGAGGTAACTCAATGACATGAGCAATCCAGTAGAGTTACCTTTCGGCGCTCCGCCGGGAAAGGCACAAGATCCCTCACAATCACCACGATTGGAGCCGGAGACAATCACCAACCTCCGCTCAACGATCCTTGCTTCTCCAAGCCGTCTAGGTGGCGGCAACCACCAAAAGTAACAAGTGAATCCCGCAGCAAAACACGAATGCCAAGTGCCTCTAAATGCAATCACTCAAGCAATGCACTTGGATTCTCTCCCAATCTCACAATGATGATGGATCAATGATGGAGATAAGTGGGAGGGCTTTGGCTAAGCTCACAAGGTTGCTATGTCAATGCAAATGGCCAAGAGAGTGACTTTGAGTCGGCCATGGGGCTTAAATAGAAGCCCCTATGAAATAGAGTCGTTGTACCCCTTCACTGGGCACAACGTGGGGTGTTCGGACGCTCCGGTCATATTGATCGGACGCAGGACCCCAACATCCGGTCCTTAGATCTTCGCCACGTGTCATCGGCTTCAAACGCCGATCGCCTGATCTCAACGGTCAAAAGATGACCGGACGCATCAGTTAGAAAGTGATCGGACGTTGGATCTCAGCGTCCGGTCGTTTCCAGTAAGGTTCCAAACGTGACATTTCATGACCGGATCCGGACATGCCCGACCGGACTCACCCAGCGTCCGGTCATACAACGTCTCCTCTGAGCGCCTTACGTTAGCGCCCGATCGGACTCACCCAGCGTCCGGTCATACAACGTCTCCTCTGAGCACCTTACGTCAGCGTACGTCAGCACTGACCGGGCGCACCCTGCCAGCGTCCGGTCACTTTTAGCGCCCTCTGCTTCCACTGATCGGACGCTCTGGTCCAACCGAGACCAGCGTCCAGTCACATATAGTGACCTTCGTCTTCTCTGTCTAGGGCGCCAGTGGCACCGTCGGACTGTCCGCACTCTACGGGCGGACACTCCGCCGGTGAAGTTTCTAACCCTTGCTCAAATGTGCCAACTACCAAGTGTATCACCTTGTGCACATGTGTTAGCATATTTTTCTAAACATTTTCAAGGGTGTTAGCACTCCACTAGATCCTAAATGCATATGCAATGAGTTAGAGCATCTAGTGGCACTTTTGATAACCATATTTCAATACGAGTTTCACCCCTCTTAATAGTACGGCTATCGATCCTAAATGTGATCACACTCGCTAAGTGTCTCGATCACTTAAAACAAAATGGCTCCTATAATTTATACCTTTGCCTTGAGCCCTTTGTTTTTCTCTTTCTTCTTTTCCAAGTTTAAGCATTTGATCATCACCATACCATCACCATCATCATGATCTTTGTCATTGCTTCATCACTTGGAGTAGTGCTACCTATCTCATAATTACTTTGATAAACTAGGTTAGCACTTAGGGTTTCATCAATTAACCAAACCAAACTAGAGCTTTCAATCTCCCCCTTTTTGGTAATTGATGACAACCCTTTCACAAAAATATAAATTGTAATTTAATTGAATCCATGTTGCTTGCCCAAGCATATTTACCATGTGTAAAGGATATGGACAAGTTTCATAAATCCCAAATGGTAGCAATTGCTCCCCCTACATATGTGCTAAGAGTTTGAATTGTAGCTTGCACATATGCTTAGATAGGAAATATAGGAGTCAATTTCTACCAAATGATGCTAAGGTATAAAAGATGGATCTTTGAAGCGTGATACCAATCGGAGTGCACCAATATACCATCCTTAGCACCATTAGTAACTAGACATACACAAAAACTAGAATACCCTATGAGATCAATATTACATGCAAGGGTCTAGTTTCATAAAATGAACATAAGTCTAATTACTTTAGCTCGATACCACTTGGAAATAAAATCACTAGATTACCTATGCATGCTAGTTTTTCATTTCATCATTCAAGCATATAACTAGCATACACCACACAAGCATGGATATTGAAATTTTAAACTTGTGACATGCAAGCAAATATATGAAATGTACATTCAAATGCAACATACAAGTTTTATGAGCTTGCTCCCCCTACTTGTGTATACTTGTGATTGATCCCCTTACAATGTCATTTCATTGTTTGCTCCCCCTATCTTACTATCTTTGTGAATTTCTCTCCCTCTTTGGCAACAATTAGCATAAAAAGAGGGTCCAATTTTAGATAGGTTAGGGTGAAACCATGTGAAGTGAGGATCATTTTCCCAATTTGGTTCAATCTAGATTACTTTAAAAAGAGCGCATCTTGGAAGCCGTTTTTGGGCTGGTTCGGTTGGGAATTTGATGGTGGGCCTTTAACGAAGTTTGATCTCCATCCGATGCTCTACAAATTTCGTTAAAGGTTCATAGCCATTGGAGCAAAGGATTAAGAGATAATTAGGCCCTAATTTGACACTGTCAATGAATTAATGTCGATCAAAGTAAAGCTCGGTTTTTGTTCATTTTGGGAAGTCAAACTTGGTCCAATTGATCCCATCTTTGGGTATCCTCTTCTCCAAATAATTATCTCCATATTTTATTTTGCAACCCAAACATGTTTCTTACAAAATTTTGGAGAACGCGGAATGTCATCGTCGATGCCCAAGATTTCAGACTTAGGTCTACAAACAGCAGCAGTTTTGATCTTGTAACCTCTGTTTGCATCATCTACAAACTGAACTAGGGCATACTCCAAAAACAAACTATGTTGTACTCAAAACAAAGAACAACTTTTATTAAAGGATCAAGGTCTGGATCAGCTCGGTTTGCAAGATATAAAGCTCCAAAGTAGGGTACCCGCAGTTCAACCTCAGTTAGGACTTAGCCAAATTCCTGGGCTCCAAAACAACACTGTATTGAATCTTGTGAGTTCCATTTGACTAGGTTAGAGGCCAAACTAACTCTTGACCATTAAACAAAGTTTGTTCTACACAAGATGAACTACAACTTTTGTTAAAGGTGAAACCTCATAACTGGTACAGAACCTACTGTTCTACTTTGACCAAAATAGGATCACGATGAAGCTTAAATTATCCTTTTTGATCCATTGGAGCATTTTCTGGCCACCTGCTCAACATGAACCCTTCATAACATTTGTTCATGAGTGCAAGTAGAGTTGTTTGAGCAAGGTACCAAGGTTTGGTTGACTTCATAGGTTTCCATCCACTTGATAAAGCAATTCATGCAAAGATATGACTTATCATTTCATGTGACTTTTTGATTCCAAACTTCATGAAACTTTTCCACGGGTCTAGATGGATGCATGTGGATGTAATGTACATGGAATAAGCATGTTTAACATTACTCTTGCATAATCTTAACAAGGGTCCATATGTAAGCAA